ATGTGGCCCATTAACAAAAAGTGGTTTGCGGTTCAGTGGTTGAAGCACTGATCTTCCACTCAGCAGATGCCCAGTAGACATTAAAGCAATAGTCAGTGGTTTGGAGACTGCATACTGGCCACTGTGTTCCCGTATTACATTCCCTATGGACTGTTTTAACTGCATGCAATCAACGCATGGTCAGATACACGATATTGCCAAAGGTAGTCTCTTTCCCATGTAAATCACTGAATTCAGGAGTTCCAATCATTTCCATGGCCACAGGTGTCTAAAATCAGTGAGCTAGTCATGCATGCTTCTACAAACATTTGTGAAAGAACGAGTCTCTCTCAGGGGGAACAAGTCCAGTCATGAAAAGTCCTCGCTACTAAATATTCCACAGTCAACTTTTAATGTACTATAACTATGTGAAAGCGACTAATGACAGAAACTCAGACAAGAAGTGGTAGAGCTGAATAAAATCACTTAGTGTGGTCGGTGGAAGCTGAGGCAGAAGGTCTTCATCTTTCTGCAAAGTCAATTGCTGCAGACCTCCCCACCTCATGTGGCCTTCAGATTAGCTCAAGAGCAGCGCATGGAGAGCTGCATCCAAACCTTATATCACTGAGCACAATGCAAATCCAGGGATACAGTGGAGTAAAGCACATCTCCACTGGACTCTAGAGCGGTGTAGACGGGTTCTCTGGAGCGATTAATCACGCTTCTCCATCTGCCAATCTGACGGATGAGTGCGGTTGTTTTTCAGGAGTTGGGCTCAGATCCTTAACTCCAGTGAAAGAAACTCTTAATGCTTCAGCATACCAAGACAGCTCTGGACAATTTCATATTCCCAACTTTCTGGGAACAGTTTTGGCATGAACTTTACGGTTTCAATATGACTGTGCACTAGCGCACAAAGCAAGTCCATAAAAGCATGAATGAGCGAGTTTGGTGTGAAAGAACTAGACTGGCCTACACAGAGTCGTGAGCTCAGACAGATGGAATACTTTTGGGGTGAATTAGTATCATCAGTATCTGTCCAGGTACCCTCTCCTCCAACAAAATGGGAAACCCTGAACAAACCTTAGTTCTGTGTTGCATTGTCAGGATTTAGAAATTTGATTTAGAGCAGTAAAATGTTACCTGCACGCAAAATGCTCAAAAACAATAAACAACAAGAAGGAAACAGAAAATCAAACAGAAATGAGACAAAATGAAAGAGAAAATAAAGGAAGGTAAAAAAGAGGAGCCAGAAAAGACAAGGAGAAGAAAGATGATGGGGAGAATTACAGGGGAAATATGAGAGGTGAAAGAAGAAAAAGGCAAGTGGAGAAAAACTAAAGAGGGGAAAAGGAATGAGAGAAAAGGTAGAGAAGAAAAAATTATCAAAGAAGATCTGAGAAGACAGCAGAGCTGGTAGATGGGCGTGTATTTTGTTAGCTGCTGGGTCCAGATGAGGTGTATTTTGTGAACAACAGTGTAACACGAAGCTTCAAGTGCCTTCACGTCTTGGCCTTCTCACGTTCTCTTGACCTCGCCACTACAATCATCCCCACCGAGGGCAATAAAGCAGTAAAATGCAGCAGTTAGGCATCTCTGACATGTTGATCTGCTTTTAACTGCTTGACAGGAGTCACTGTGACTGACTGCTGATGTCACCTTTACTGTAAGCCCATCAACTCATCCATCAGTTCTCCTCTAGTGGAACAACAATTAGTATTGTCTTAGTAAGAAAACACGCAGTTAGTAATGTGAGTGATGATTTAACAGCATGATGCAGCAAGTGTGTTTTTGTTTGCCCGGGCAAATAACTTGGCCCGTGCCAGCATATAATGCTGCAGCGACAGTTCCACGTCATCCATGCGACGAAAACGCTCTCTCCGATTCATCGTCAACTGTCTAAAAGAAAAAATAAACTGACAACAAAATTCTTACAAACAGCATAAATTCAGCGACTGAGTGAATAATTTGTTCATGTGATAAAACCTTGATTTCAGACAATAAGAAAACTAAGACTAGGAAAGTTATATTAGAGATTATATGGTTAGAAATAAAAAATAAATACAAATATATGTTTATTATTAACTGTGAAAGAAATATGTATAGTTCTGTGTAAATAATCATTCTGTACATACGATAATTTTTAATCCTACAACTGTTTATAACTTGCATAGTTCACATTTCTGTATAGTTTTTTTATTTCATATTTATATCCTGTTCATAGCCTGTACATACTTATAGTTATAGAATATTCATAACATACTTCATACCGTGTACATTATAACATACCATAATAGACCCATTTCTGTAACATACTTACATATCTATATTATTGCTAATATATATTGTAATATATCTATATCATGGCTAAAGCACTTCTGGATGGATGCAAACTGCATTTCGTTGCCCTGTACCTGTGCATGTGCAATGACAATAAAGTTGAATTCTATTCTATTCTTCTATTCTAAATACTTTGATCAAACTGGAAGCATCACTGCTTGCCGTAAAACTGCTGAACTGCAAATGTCTCAGAAGAAAATTCGTTAGTGTGTCTGTGCAGCGTTCTCTGTTTCTCAGGGACATCTGTGGTTAAACGAGTTTGAAATTATTATTTTTACAAAATAATTTCTATTAAACAAACTGAAAAGAACTTGAATCGGAGCACCATCCCTACAAATTACTTTGGAAACTGTGCACACCAAGGTCACTGGCCTACGCTATAACTTAAATAAGTTTTGTGCTCCAAATCAGTGTGTTGAAATTGTGACTTAGCATCCTAAGAATACTGTAGCTATCATGGTTGTTAGGTGGAGGATATAAGATAAATGCCTGACCCCTAATCTTTTCCTGAAATGCATCTTATCTTAAATCCATATACAGAGTTGGGGTAGTGAATGGTGCACTTTCATTGTATGTTAGTTTTTGGTTTTTATTATAATTTGGTTGAGTTTAGTGATAAAAAATGTGGTTAGATTTCTTTTATAAAACCTCTTAAACAGGTTTAGATGT